CAAAAGGGCAACGCAAGAAAGTTGTGCTCCGTTCTTGTTTTTATATCAAGGAACTTGGTGTCCAGTGGATAATAGACCGTATTTGCTGGGAGGCAATTTTTTGATCGTGTTCCCCAAATTCTTCATGTTCACTGTAATCTGTGAAATCGGGTGGTGCCAGACTGTTTTTGGTTCCAGGTAGTTACATGTAGGTTTTTTTTAACCTGAAATCATGCGAGAAGATGTGATTCATCTGCGATTGTGACGTCACTACGGGTATGTAAATACATGTAGACTAATTCCGCACAAAAAAATGAACTCCAAACCACAATTTTTCGCATTCACAAACCGGATTTTTTTCCGGAGACTTTTGTTACATTTTTGTCGTAGTCAGAGAGTTGATGTTATTTTTCAGTGTTGGCACTAACAAGCTAAATTTTTTTGCTCTGAAAGTTTGGATGATCTCGTTCGCCTATTTTGGGTGCAGAAGTTCAAGTTTATATGCAATTTAATAGAGACTTACCTCTGCATTGTACATGTAGAATAGGCACATTCACGTATGTTTCACCCATTTTGTGAGAAGCCAATATCTCATTTATTTGGAGGCTTCAAAACATGAAGTACTCAATTGGAACTACGTGTACCCGTTCAAGATTCAGTGTCATTCCTAAATGCCTATTCTGATTTTTTTTTAAGCATTTTAGCTGTCTTTGTCCCTGTTTTCTGTCCTTTTCAAAACTCTAACTGCGCATCCGCATAAATGCAGCTGCAGTTGCCCATGAAAAAAACATCTTGGAAATAAATACAGCCATACAAGAGAACAAATTACAAAATAATATCTTGATCTGCTGTAACTTCATGATGACCATTAAAAACCAGCAGACTTTATTTCCAAAGGTAATGAAGGAGCTTAGTCAAGCTAAATTGAGTCTTTGGATGATTTATTGATAATGATTCAGTAAAGAATTTACACATCTCATTTTTTTTTTAATTCGAACACTTCCTCAAATGGGTAAAGTTTTCTTGTGTTTGTAGTATATGGTATGGTACATGTAGCTGTGGCGTTATCTTGATGTTTCTTATCTCCTATGAAAACAAATAAGCCCAAAGTCTCATATTTTCACAAAACAACCAGCATTTGCTCCAATCCAGGGAGTTCTCTCACCCTTCAAGACACTGTACACATTGCGTAATGTGCTATTTGAGGTCAAAATGTCGCCAAAATCATGATATTCTTCAGTGAATTTTCCTGGCAAAAAAAATCAGCTGTCTTCCCATGATGAAAACAATGGCGAATGCACCATCGTTCACCAAATAAAAGATTTCTGTAAAAAATCCGGTTTTAACATAATCTTCATTTTTTCTGAGATATACAGAGAAAAATTATGTTTTATTCAAAAATGTGTCAAAAATTTTGAACTTTCATAAATTAACTTCACAAAGGAATGTTTTAATCATTTAAAAAATATTTATAATTTTGATGAAGTAATCTAAGCAACTGGAGTGACTAGAAGCTGTCAGCTATGATGTCGTCACTGGAAGGAGATGATGTAATTGGAGAGTTGCCTGAGTTTATCCCCATGGGATTAAAAAATTAATATTAATAAGCGATAATGAGGTGTGCCATTTTCAGTTTTTTTTCGCGTATGTGCATACTTATATTCCTGTGCGGCAGATCGTGAAGGGAGCCTGTCACTTTTTGTTTTTTTTCTAACGTAACTCTTTAACCCTTGGTCCCTTGAAAGCCAATTAACTTTCCACTCGAAATGTGCAAATTTCCAGGTGTTTTGGAGAGTGTCGCAGAGCTACATGTAGGCTTGGCTGAGCTTACAAAAGAACTCAGACCATGTTCAAGTATTTGAAGAAGTTGGTTGGGATACGCACAGCGGAGCAAGTGACCGAGATCTGATGAGTGGTAGAGGTTTACATGTGGACTGATGTTGCCACTTTGGAGTATCTGGATTTCAGGAATTCCTGAAAATAATTCCATAAAATCTTGTCTTCCTTTTTCTTGTAGCTGGAAGCCATGTGTTCAATTAACGTCTTACAGTTCATCTTCATTGCTCTCAAACTGGATGAGATAATTACATGGAGTTGGTCGGTGAGTACATAAACATTCTATGCTTAATAACGAATTCATTCATCTGATTAATGAATTATCTGATTAATTGATCTTAACGACAAGTATCACTCTGGCCCTCTTAGATGCTCCAGAATTCATCAGGTGTTTTACAGATTTGAGGAATGTACATGTATGCACATAGTTCAGACTTTAATAGACCTTATTCACAGGGAAGCCAATTTATCTTGTTTCCTTAACCCAACCATCCTCAATCCTTCAAAGTCCTCAGAGTGGTTTTGGAGGATTGAGGCTGCATGGCAAAATTGCATTGCTGATTGCGAAGGATGCATTGTCTTAAGGTTGTGGGTTAGACTCTTGTGTTGTTTACGTTCAGCCATGCATAAGTTCATGACCACATTTTATGTGAAATCCTCCATACTGCTTCAGGGTACCATTCACACTGCCTCAACACAATGAGAGGAATTGCCGGAGGATAGAGGTCAGGGGGCACCCTTCCACAGAACATATTCAGGAAATAGATGATTTTGGAGGACTTCGGCTGTATCCAATTTTTTCATAGTGGCTATTGGGGAATTTCAAAGGATTTAGGGTGTATCCTAGCCAAAAGGGCCTCGGCACTTAGGGTTAAGCAGTCACATTTAATGTACAAACGTTGGTGGTGCCAGACTATTTGGGGTTCCAAAACTCTCAGTTTTAAAATATAGCTTAAACATTTGCATACAATTTTCATCATTGATATTTTGTTCTCAGATTCTCAAAATGAAAGTTTTACCTCACTTTGGATTCAAGATGGCCGACACATGAATACAGTCTATTGCTATGTGGGTCTTCATGGTCACTAAACGTTGGAGTGCAAAATAATGTGTGCTATTCTTGCCGTTAGTTTCCTTCATGGTGCCAGACTGTGGTGCCCAGGGCAAAATTTCCTTGAGAGTTACATGTAAAGACATCCTATAAACAGTAATACTGAGAATCTCAGATTTCATCTTTGTATTTTTCCTGTCTTACCACAGGTTGTATTTATACCCATTTGGATCCTCATGTGCTTACTGTGCCTTATAGTTCTTTATTACATCGTCTGGTCCATCCTTATACTCCGAGCCACTGAGATCATGGCCGAACAACGAAGAGCCCATCTCATGGCTGCCTTCACAGCTATGGCATTGGTCATACCACTGTTAACATTTGAGGTAAGAAACAAGAAACTTACGTACCTAGGAGCCAATGATTTTTTGAGATTATGGAAGACGGACGGAATTCGCAGAATCAACACTTTGAACAGTACAGTCCATTGTGTATACACACAAGGCACAAACAAGGTCATACTCACACATGACATATGATTATTGTACACATGGGGAATTCAGTCCGTGAATCCGCATAGGTTCCTTGAGACAAGACTAGTACCACACGGCAAAATGATGAAACAGTGGCAGCAAAAGGGAAGACTAATTACATATTTCTCGAATTAAAGGAAACCTAGTAACTTGGTGTACCGTAGCTGAATGGGCCCTCAGAAGTGTTTGATGAACAGTGAAGTTGTCAGTCACAAACTTACATTTTTACTCTCAGATTCAATATTAACTTTCTGAATTTTATCGCACTACTGCCAAATAAAATGGTGGGTCGATGTCCAACATTAACATATTGTGATTAACGACTGTCACATGCAAGACATACTCTGTGACTTTACTGTACATGTACATTTATGTAATCTGATTTTATACACGAGGAGTGGCACATAAATTGTCCGTTGATTAATCATGACAAGTTTTTGATGATTGCACCACATTGGGAAATGAAGGGATGGGGGCTGCCGTATTTATTGTGTGGATTTTTTTAAATTTGTACTACAGAAATTATAAAAAGGTCGGAAACACTGCAAGAGTATTCCCAAACAATATTTGTTTCTTTTCTTTTTTTTCCTTTTTTTAGGGGGAGGGGGAGTATTAACGTTTGGGCAAATGGTCTCCATGCTTTGCTTAAAACTTGCTCACCTATTTCACACATGTATGAAACCGAATTTTCATTTCTAAAATGGAATTTGGGATTTGCCGAAACGGAAAATACCCATTTTTGAAATGGGAAATCATTGGCTCTACTTACCTCTTGTGGAACCTCGCACAAAAGACGTCCCACGTCCCTGATGCAAAAGTATCAGCCTGTGGAGCTTACTGATTCATTTGTTGTATTTTCTTACATTCAGCTGCATAGGAACTTGTTTATTTTATCATACATGTAGCAGGTGCATAAAGGCAGTCAGTAAGTGTGCGTGTGTGTTTAGATTAATTCATTCTTTGGTGTCACTTTTCTGGTGACCAGATTTTACTAGTCAATCGCTTGGACCGTATCACAAGTCATCCCTTTGTGGCAGTTTTCTCACCGTTCTACATCTCCCTGCTGGTGCTCATTCCAACGTCGTTTGGACAAAGGGGCAGCAACCACTGTAAGTACAAAACCTTATTTCAAGAATGTCAGAGTTGAAATACTGAATGGCCGATTGTTTCTGTTGTCCATAAAAGATAGAAATTTCTTGAGAATATCATGTGCTCTGTGTATTGGTGCTCCATCAGTACTGTCAAAGAGGCATGGGCAGGGGGGAGACACTTCCATGCTACATGTGTTTTCCAATTTGTGACCTTTAATACATGATGGTTTGTGCACATTCAAATGAAAATGAGTCACCCCGCACTTTGCGGCATATTAGACACTTTTAGAGTGTACCAGTTTGCGCATGCAGTTAGCGTGACTGTAAAGGCCGTAAACCCAAATCAGGGGAGAGATTCGGCAGGATTTTCCTGATTTCAGGATTTTTCAAACAATCTGCTTCAAAGTCTGAAAAATCGTGGTTTACCATTACAGTGTTGAGACAAACGTTTTTAAATGTTTCCTGAGCTGGACCTCGATAAGCATGCGTGAATGGCATCTTCCGGTATATCGCACTGCAACACCCTAAGAATTTTCTGACTGAATCAAACAGCATACACATACATTGTACATGTAGCTCTCAATGACGTGTGTACGTACAACATTGCTGTATCTATCCATTTTCAGACACACTGATACAGCATGTACATGTGTTTATAGATACGATTGATAAGATGCAGATTTTGTTTAAGTACAATGTGAGGTGTTCCACATGTACAGTAAGTGTACATTGCACAATGTGAGATGCCAAGTGTGCACTTGTCTGCATTTCTGTTCAATGTAAAACAGGTAGCCTAAAGGTTCAATACTGACAGATGTTAAAAGCAACTGCATCAAATCTGCATGTACATTGTACCAATACATGGCTTTGCAATAGTTGATGTATTCCAGTCTGTCTGGCCAGCCACAACCTGAATACAGTAGTTCATCCCAATGTTGTTAAGGTACAGATACAGTACGCACTGCCATGGTGTAGTTGTGAGTCTATCATTAGTCTCTTCCCTACTGCAGTCCAGCCACAAGTCCTTTCGCAAGACCACTCGTCATACATGTACACTTGATTTGTACAAGTACATGTAAGTTGGCTTATGACTGGATGACTTGCAGGGACTTGTGATGGACTCCGTAACCATGACTGATTTTTAAAAAACTGCACATGTACTGTACGTGTACATGTAGCTGGGTACCAGATTTTTACAGATTTAGGAAACTCCTTCCCCGTACTGCCTGGGTACATGTACATGTGTACCTGTGGATGGGGTTCGTACTAAAACTTGCCAGTCGTTATTAAGCTGCCTGGTTTTCTCCACATTTAGGGTGGTTTGGAATAAGAAAAGACTTCTGCACATTCCTACTGACTACGTGCCCCTTTCTGAGAGAGTACGGCAATATTTCTTACAAAATGGAAGTCGTGGATCGCGTGACACCGCCCGACGAACAGGACATCAACAGAGAGATGTATACCACCTCAATACGGGCCGTCATGGACCACTCCACAAAACTCATAGTGCCCATTGTCGCAATTGAGATGCCTGACTGATAGCATTCATGCCCCAGGAACGTTCCATGCTTCCAGGAACGTGAAACAGTGAGTGAAGCTTGAAAAGGATCAGCTCACGAGCTCCCAGTGAGGTTGAATATGTACGTTTGATCATCAGATATTAACTGTCTGGATACAGTGTTGAGGCAGATACAAAGATACAGACAGGTACCCATCCTCAAGTGTATCATACCAGTAACAGCTGCGAGCACGTATGAAGTAACTGTACACTGTATATGTGCCTTTTTCCTTCTGCTGTCATGTGCGACCTAATTGATTGCTTGGATAATAAGCGGCACAAGACTTGTTCATCCTTACAAGGGGCCTGTTACATAGACTTGCCAAGCACTGAAAAATGTACGGAATGCTGGGCAAAATCAAGTTACCAGCCAAAGGCACCATGCAAAGTATGTTACTGGAGACTGGCTATTTGCTGATTTTTGCTGAGCACAGAAATGAGTTCAGCAGTGTTTTCTGTCTTGCAGATCTACGGTATGAAATGAGGCTCAGCCAGCAAGTTCACAGGCACCAAAAAATTTCCTGAGATCATTGGATTTCTCCTACATGTACATGTTTGTCACTGTTAAATAATCTTTTCTCTGTTTTTGAAAGTGTTGATCTCTCATTTTGATAGGAAGCCTATCTTTAGATTACATGTACGTGCTCAAGGACATTTTAACCACTTGCTGCCGGGGAACCCCGTTTCGAGCACCATGGGTTCATACACAGAGTCGGGGTGCCCGAAATGGGACAAAAGGGCTGGTCCATGTAACAAAAGACTGTACATGTGTACTTGGAACAAAAGACCTGCTGCTGGGAATTGCCATCATATTTTGGCTTGCATTTTTCGAAGGTAATCCATCACTGTTTTAAACAGTATACCACTGTTTTGGGCATAGTGCCCCTGCGGATTAGCACCACAAACAATAGTGCTCCAGGGCCCCGTTGATGAGCAGCACAGCACCACTGCATAAATCCAGCCGCATTTGAAAAGACGCCACTCGCATTCACTGGGGACAAAGGAAATTACGCAGCACCTCACGATTCTGGGCTCTTTTTACAGGGTGGCAGGCCTGGCTGAAATACTCAGGAGTCAATGAAGGTTACCTGTCAGCTTAGAGTAGCCACCAAACAGTCATTTGTGTAGGTGTAAACGTCCATTAAATGAAATGACGAATTTTTGAAGAATTTTGAAAACTGAAAAGCTAGAAAATCCCCCGTATACATGTATATGGGCACTTCATTTTTAAAAGCACCAGGCAGCAAGTGGTTAATGGGTGGTATGTATATATGCATACACCTGCAGGTGTACATGAATACGTGTACATATAACTTGGCAAAGTAGCAGGCCTGGACTTTTCTGCATCATTATGGCCATCATGCTGAAACAGAAATCATTCATGGATCTAGTTTGTAATGTTACACTCAGTATGTACAGTGTACATGTATTGAGTAAACACAAAGTTGGTTTGGTTTTGTAGGTGGGAAGTGCCATGATAGCTTCACGTTTCCATGTGAAAAAATCGCACAAAATTTTAAAGGCTTTGCGCATGCCTGCAATTGTATCGGGAGACCACATCCTATACAAATAGAAAGAAAATCCTATCCTTCAACAATGAAGACAGTGGACTAGATTGAAGTGTTACTGTGATGTAATACGATCCATTCATGTTGTAAACCTGTCTGTGTGTATCAAGGATTAGCACTTACGTATATACATGTACTTAAGAGCAATATGTCAACAACCTGCAAGTCTCTACTGTGACTCCACATGGACTTAAGTACAAAGTTGTACATGTACATGTACCCGTATGCTTCTATTGGAGAGGAAGATCTTGATAGCTCATGTTGTCACAAGACTCACAGAATCAGGCTGGGCCTCTCTGAAACCAGATGCTGCATCAGTTCTTTTTGTTAGATCAGTAAAATATACTTTCTGGCCGTTGGGTCCTGTTTGATGTAGCAAGCTTCACACATCAGTTGCTGTTGGATATTGCTGAATACTACAGAACCTTGCAAAATGTACTTGGAGGTAGATAAAAGCACTACAACGGATGTACATGTATGTCCTGTGTGTTCTACATGCACATGTACATGTAATTCTGATATTTGTGTACATTGTGCATAGTGTCCTCCACATGTAGTATGTCATTTGTCTTGAAATCTGTGCAGCTCACGAGAGGGGTTTTTTTGGCTGTGAGGTGAAGTGTCAAAAATCAAGCTAATGAATCCAGTTTACATTGAGTTGCAGCTCCAAGGATTGATGCAAATCTTGTTACTTGATACGTTGAACTGGTTTCATTTTGACTCTGTGAACTTTCAAATAGAAATTACAAGTTCAAATGTACATGTACTTTGATTTTGATAGAAAGACAGAAAACAAAGTCCCAAAGGTATGCACAGGTGTATGTAAATAAAATGTTTAACTCAACAAGAATGAAGTAATGTAATGTTTGAATCAGTGATGGTTTTCCTTCTTTGCCCTAAAACCCCCTTAATGGAATGTTTTTACACTGTGCTTCAAGGCCAGAAATAAACTCTTTATAGATCTTATTCCAGTCCTGCATGTACAGACTGCCAAAAGAAAAAGATATCCTCCTTCACTTTCCTCATATTCAGCTCAAAAGTTTAGAAGTCCTCCATCAACTGTATTCCAAGTTCATTTTGACCTCAAAATAATTTCTGAAGTACTGCAGCAAGCACTTACAGATTCATAACTGTATCTCTGCTGTGTGCAA